GGGGAGAGAATTGAAATTTCTTGCTTGACCGGACTCTCTATTCGGGCGTATTACACTTGCGAACTTACAATCTTTAAACGGCATCGCAGCATTTCACTTGCGAACCTAAAATCTTCAAAGGTCACCCAACATTTCACTTGCGAACCTATCCCATATCGGGCCAAAAATATCAGATAGAACTCGGGAATTGTTAAGCTTGTGACATGTTTAAATAATGCGATTCAGACACTAGATGTTACCATTACTCACATTTTAACAGAATGTCCAGACTTTGGAGGGGCCCGAGGGAAATGTTTTAAATGCAAATAAATTGCAAGATCTGTTCTCTATCGTTGATCCCTACAGAATTCTTGATTTTATGAAGGTCACTGGCCTTTACAATAAAGGGTAGATAACATTATTTTTTAAATAACTTAAAATGTTATTTAAAAAACAGAGATTTTACCCCAAATTTTTAACATTTTAATCGAAATATTGACCTAAACCAAGCCGTGCTATGAATTGTGAATGCAACCAACTTGTCTTTCGCGCGCTTATATGACTTTAGGCAGTTGCGAGCGCGGTAAAAGTCTTACTAAATGCCACCAGGACAGTGCTACTGACTGAAGTTGTCTTTAGACCATTCCGAAAGGGGGGATATTAACATATTCTTAAGCACAGTAGAATTGTAAAGAAACTATTATCAATGGCATGCTCACACTGTACATGAGCAACATAGCGGGAACTGCTGCTTTTTCTTTTCTCATCCTTGCGATCGTCATTTTCCCTCTACTTCTTTTGTGTATGTTTGTCACTCTCTTGGAAACTTCAATTCCCGGGGTGCCTTGATAGTCGAAGCAGACTTTGTGCTGAAGAGGCAAGAGCGTCGAGCAGAGTGAGCCTGATTCCCTGTTTTGGACTTCTCTGTTGACATCCACACCTAGGCACTCATATGACCTTATGCAGTTGTGAGCGCTGTAAAAGCTTACTAAAACTAAAACAAAAAACTCCTTGCTAAAACAAACAATGCCAGTTCGTGGATGCAGCGATGGTGTATGTTTCCGTGTTTTCTTGCCAGATGATAAAAGGAAAACATTCAGCTGCCAGGGTTTTGGAGCTGTCACTCAGAAGTTGCCAGATTTTGTTGTTCCGAACATCGAAGTTCTGAATTTGCCATATGACGGTGAGAGATGATTTCTGTTCTCATTTCGTGAATTTTGTTGTTGTTGTTGTTATTGTTGTTGTTGTTTTTGTTAAAGAGGAGGAGGAGGAGGAGGAGGAG